GTAATAAGTTACCTATTTTGCTTCTAAGATACTGTATGTATAGAATTCATTTTACTGTCTAACATATTACAATAAAAAATAAACTTGAGATAGTAAAGAAATGTAATCTATTAGTAATTCTTCTGGACAGAGATTGTATATTGTTCCTTCAATGCCATATTAAAGATAGATTTATCTATGTTGAAACAAGTATGAAAGTTTTTATAAATATCTTCTACATGTTTACAAATAAAAAATGATAAGTGGGTTTTCTCTTTTTACCTTTATTATTTAATTAAGTTTTACTGTGTACCTTAAGCCCTTTACATAAATATTCTGGTTTCCTATTAGTAATTTATCCATTTTATGACATAAAAAGCATATTAGGTCATAAAACTTAAAGTTATGAAAATAGCTTCATAAAAGATTGAATTCTATATTTTATAAAGTATAGCTTGTTTTTTAGATATAAGTTAACATCACACATGATAGTAACAAATACATCTTTATTATTTGCATGATATAAGCTCTATTATTTGCCCAGTAAATGTCTTTTTTTATAACTATATCTACATATTCCATTGTAAAATGTGATAAGTTGTCTAAAATAAGAATTTTTATATTGATGATACTAAATAATGTACCCTACACATTTATAATCTTATGCATTATGATGCGGTATTGTTATCAGATAGTTTAGTCTAATTAACTTCCTGGATTATATAAACATGTTTGTAGTCTTGGTTTATAAAATAGTGAAATACAATGCTACTAATTAGTTAGATATATGTATTTTAATAAGTGATGTCATTCTGGTGGTTGACCAAAAATAAACCCTTCAGCAACCAACAAATAGGCTTATTAACCTCCCAAAACTTAAGCTTATTTATTATAGTTCTCAATTAAAGCTGATTACTATATGATTTGGGCAAAATATCTTAACATCAAATTAACCTAATAAATATCTCTTAAAACTCGGACCAAATATCCTTGCATAATTCAAACTGATTATACATGCAACAAACTTGGCATTTGGTCCCAATTAATTGGGAGCAATACTGACAAATTTACCTTAAGAAATCATCTGGAATTAATGCTCAAACGACCTCTAAAAATCCCATGAACAAATAGAATAATATGGTTGTCATCATGATATCATAATCAATTTCCCACCCTATGACAAATTTTGTATGTTGAATCTTGAAATGGGCATAAAACTCACTTGCATATGGACCACTTAAATGGGAGTACCTAGTGCTATCAAGAGAGGCCTGCTGACATCCCAATTAGGGGTATGTCAGTTAATTAGAATTAACATCAAAGTTTCTTAGACGTCATATTTCATCAGCTGTATGACAAAACACAAATTGGTTAGGTCCTAGGAAAATTTTGCAAATTCATAATGTGATTTTTGCCCCTTAAGTCTTCCCAAACTATGTTTGTATTTTACCATCAATAATCCTAGCAATAGGTCATACTAATATTAGTTCAAGGGCCAAACTCTGGTAAAAAAAGAATCTTTTTTAAATTACATGCTCAATATGTGGCCAGGAGATACCCTTTAGTTATAAATAGCAGCACTTGGCCTAATGAGAAAGCATCCAATAATATTATCTAATAAAGATATATTTATATTAATTACCTTTTTTGCGCGGACCCCATTTCCACATGGGCAACTTTCAAAGAAGACACCATCCGCCACCATTGCCATCTCTCATCCAGACGCTCACGAGCCACATCAGTGGTTATATTGTGCACGCTGGCGGAATTGGCCCACCTGGAGTCCAACATTCCAGCCTCAGGATATAGCCCTGCATGGGGCCAGAAGTGGGCGGAGGCAGCCACCCACCTCAACGCACTTGAAAGGCAACACAAACATTGGGTTTGTGTCCAATACAGGGCCACACGCATCACTAAAGGTGACAAGTGCACTGCATACTTCTTCAAAAAAATTTTGCACCATGCCAGAGTGTGGCCTGCACACAGGTGCAAAGATCAGATAATTCTATTGTGGACACACTGGCTGAAGTGGCAATCGAAATGCAAAGATATTACTCCAAGTTATACTGAGCTGAACCAATTCAGCCGGGCGAAATGGTGGAATTTTTTGACTGAGCTCATATCCGCACCATTTTCTGATACCTGAAAATAATGAATTTAATTACTCCAAACGAATTATGGACTACCATTCGTGGTGCGCCAAACCGAAAATGCCCAGGCCCAGATGGCATTCCATATGAGTTCTACAAAAAATATTATAAATATATATCCCCATTGCTGCTAGCCTCACTCAACCAAAGCCTGTTGGAAACGCGCCTCCTACCAGGAAGACATGAGGCCTTTACGGTCACACTCTTCAAGAAAGGGGATAGGCTAGACTTAGCCAACTGGCGCCCCACTTCTCTTCCAAACAATGACACCAAAATTTTAACCAAAATCATGGCTAACCGTTTAGGGACTGTAGCATCTGCCACCATCTCCCCAGAACAATTTGGTTTCATCCCCAGAAGGTCGATTTGGGATAACGTGCACTCTGTGGCTAATGTGTGTCAGTCCACAGCCTCTGGGGCACTTGTATTCTTGGACCAACAAAAGGCCTATGATAGAGTAAACTGGGAATACCTTAGGGCCTGCCTCCAACAATTCCGCCTACCTCCCCGCTTCATTAACTGGGTGATGCTGCTCACGGAATCTGCAACAATGGCAGTGCGCGGCCCAGGTTTCCTAATGGAAGTAGTCTGTCCTCAAAGGGGCCTGCGACAAGGGGACCCCCTCAGCCCACTCTTATACAACTTCAGCCTTGACCCACTACTGCAAAATGTGAATGCCCAACTCACTGGGGTCCATGTGCCAGGCCAAACCCCAGTCAAGATGATGGCATTTGCAGATGATTGCATGGTGGGGGTGTCTAATAACAAAGATGCACGCGCGCTTGAAGCCCTCATCCAGGAATATTCCCGGGTAAGCAACGCGGCACTGAATGCCTCCAAAACTGAAATCATTCTCCTTGGTCAGTTTCAGAACTGCTGGGCCCCAGCAAGTAGTTCCCAACCCGGCCCATCTGCTCGCCCACGTCCACGCCTTACTAACTCAAAACACACCGCTCCACTGATGCTCCCCTTTGTGCCATGACCTACCATAGGACTGGTACGCCATCTGGGCGTGTGGATGGAGGCAGGTGGATACGCGTCAGCAGTAATGGAGTGCCATATACTGGACAACGTGACGAAGCGAATCGCCTCTCTCAGAGCCCACCCTATTACCCTCACTGGCAGGGTTGTTCTTGCCAACTCTATGCTCCTATCCAAAGTCTGGTTCAGATCCCACGCCATCCCCTTCTCCCCAAGCTTCTTCAAATCCCTGTATGCTTTGCTACAAGGTTGGCTTTGGTCAGGCCGCCCTCCACCAGTACGGCTAGAGGTCATGTTTGGCCCTCATCATCATGGTGGCATGGGCCTACTTGACTTCAAAGCCCATGCTGCCAAGATCCTGGGCACCTGGATTGCGGCCGTCACTGCTCCTACACTCCCATCCCAACACTGGTCCTGCGCGGCCTGCTCCAACTTCTCCTGAGCCTTGGGCCTCAACAATCCATCAAACCCCCACTCCCTGATGAAATACCTCACATCACACACATCGGCCACAGGTCCTCACGGGACCAAAACCCACTACAAACATATCCTACTCTCCATGTGAAGCGCAGAGTGGAGAATTTGTATTAGTGGACATACAACCCAAAGAGGCCGCCCCTCTCCTCAGTTCACACAAGAGGTACAGGGGCTACCCATCCATGATGGCGTGATCCCCATTTGACCCCAAGTCCTATCCAGGGTGGACTACCTGGACATGATGGACATCCCTTATTCCACTGAGACCCAAAAGACTATCTGGAAATACGCACACCATCCTCTGTTGCAGCCTCAAGTCTGCTCCCATGTGTGGCGCTGCCTGAGGCGGGTGTATCATACAGCTGAGCGCTCTAATGCTTTACACTCATCCTGTGTCGTGTGTGGCCAGTATGGAACGCTGTTTCACCGCCTGGAGAAGTGCCCTACCTCTAAAGTAATATGGCGCGAAGTCCAACGTCTGCTAGGCCAGGATCAAACACATCCCTTCAGTCTGTCAAGAGATATGTTTGCTTCATCAATGGCCTCCCCCTCCCACCCTCCCTCCATGCTCTGGTGGTTGCAATTGCCATGTGGACTATCCACACGATTGTCTTGGATGCCATCGCTGGATCCATCCCCACCCTCCCTGAAGCTGTCCACAGATTCCGGTCTCATTTGGTGGATCACTTCCAAGTGTGGATGTTTGGATATCTCCCACCGCATCGCCGACAGATGGTCTCCTCCTGGTTCCCAGTCTGGTTCATCAAATCAGACCCCATCCTCCAGACGTGCTCATTAGTGGCTACGTCCCCTACACACGTTCCCTCCCCCTTCCCATAAGTGGCGTTCCCGCTGGCAACAAGAGATAGCATCGCTTCTCTGGGGTGCCTCCCTTGGTACTAAGTTTTGTCTTGTCTGAGTCATATTTGGAAGTGTCCATCCCATGGTCGGCCTTCCCCGCAATAAAATTAAATTTAAATTTATATTAATTACCTTTGTTTAGTTTCTTATCAGAGTCTTATATTAAAAAATATAATCAAGCTGTTAGGGCAAAAATCTCCAGCTTATACTGTTGCTTGCCTCACTAGAAGTTCCGAATTTAAAGGGAATTCACCCAAATTTGGTCTGAAAAGACATATCATATTAGAAAATCCTATTCAGCTTCCAAATGGTCATAAAACCGTAAGACACTATCTAAAATTGAGGATCTTTTGGCCAAACATCTTCCCAAATATACGTGCAGAATTTAATTGATTTATTTGAGAAATCCACAAAATCTAATAGTGATAAATATATAAAGTGTGATTTAAATAAATAAAATTAAGAAAAAATCAATGAATTAGGGCCTGTTTTTACTTTAGAGAATAAAAGCAATATTGAAAAAAATATAAGAGGTGAGTCAACCTTGTGAAACTCCCTTTCTAAGGAATTGAACCCTGGCCACTCCAGTGAAATTGGAGAATCCTAACCACTTTTTAAAGAGAATTCTAACCATTGGACCACAAAAAACACTTTGAACATCATAATAACGTTTTTAATTTCTATAACACTATGAAAATTTGCGCTGTTAAATGGCTTTTATTTATGAGATCTTAAATAAGTTGAGTAATATTACTTAACAGAAATTATATAATAGCTGTGTGTTCAATAGGATTTCTTATCATCAACATCTTAGGAAACATCTAACATTTTTAAAATTGTAAAGCATTTGGATAAAATGCTCTGCCCATATCCTCTTTTTTAACCTTTGCTTATGGTGAGATTTAGTTCAATGTAAACATATAACGACTAAAGAGACTCTAATTAACCATCTTTGTTCCCTTCAAAGAAAAATTAGACTGTACACATCAAATAATCATCTATAGGACTTCATGATATGCCACATGTTTTGTCCAGACTTGGGTGGCAATCTGTCCTTTCTTTATGGAATCTTTATAAAAATTTTCACATCTTCAAAGTGCCTGACTTTAGAAAATGCAACATAAATTTGAATATGATAAAAAGCTGGAGCTGTAAGGTAAAGTAGAATTGAATCAAAGGTCTGACCTTAAGGACTTGTTTATTGAGTTTTAAAAATCCCAAGGGGCTCCTAATGCAGGAAACTATTGTGGGATGAAGGCCTGGGGTACTGCCCCCACAAGATTAAGGCTGAGCGAATTTAAGCACCACTTAAAAATGTGGGCCTGACCGCAATTGGGAGTAGCTCACGCTACCCTAAAATGACATATGCCCACCCTGTTTAAGTACCTGGAAGCTCATCTGCATCAGCCAAGACAGGTGATATACCTCTCATCCCTCTTTTGGGGGACAAGACCCAATGACCCCCAGGTTTAAGGCCCCTAAGGGGGGAGAAGCTGAAGCCCTTCCCTTTGTCACATGCTTTTTTAGCGGAGTTAAACTCTCTGACCCCTTAATGTCCAGGAATCCTTGGAGTCCTTTTTTCTCTGCTATCATTTTTTGAAAGATCCATCATACCACCAGGCATCTCATGCCAACTGAACTGGAAGCTAGCTGAGCTTCAGACCACCCTGGAAAACCGTGGCATTTATTTTAGGAAGATGCACCTAAATTTCAGTCTACCAGGATTGAACCTCCCTTGTCTTGGGTCTTCACCTGCACGACCCCAGATCATGGGGAGGCCATTTGACAGGCACCTTGCGCAGCTTGTACCCCCCTTCCTGCACGCATTCTCCCCTCATAGAGTAGTAGACACCCTCAAGAACAGTTCAGCACAGTCATCACTACCATCCCACACTTCTTTCAGGCCATTAAAGGACCTGAACAACATGCCTCTTTGGGTCTTGGTTTGCTACTCACCTATGTTTCCACAGTCTTTCCCCAGTTGCACCACGTGGAGGCCCCAGATTACCCTAACTAGCTCACTGTCTTGTTTATTTTCATGATGAATGATAGCCTAATAGGGGAATGTCACATCATCAGCAATAATGTCTTAGCTTGGCTTGGTTTGAGATAGATAAATTTGAGAAATGAAATATGTTCACCAGCATGATCACCAGTAAGGATGTTGGCCTCAAGAACATGTTCACCATATTTCAAGTATCAGGCATGTTCCATTGCACATCCTTTCAATGTATATAATTTATGCTGCAGCATGACAATTGATCCTTGTTGGGACTGAGGGAGGTCTGAAGGTGGGTCCTTCGAAGCTTGCTGAGGTGGACAGGCGAGAGGAGGACTTAACCTTAGTAATAGGTTCAGGGGTCCTAATAGTATAATTTAGGGACTTAACCTAGGAGAATTCAGAGGTCTCAAAAGTTAATAGTTAGGAACTTAACCTAGGCAGGTTCATATGTCCCAAAAGATAATATATAGGGACTTAACCACACTGGTTCAGAGGTCCCAAGAGAGGAAACGAACTTCTACTAAAGAGCCAAAAGAGGTAAAGCATAAAAGTTATTTTATTGAGTAAAAATTTGCACCTTAAATAGTGCTAGTAAAATATGGGATAAAATAGGGATATAAGGAATGATCAGCGCAAGCACTGTGGAATTGGGAATAAATTAGGAAATATTATCCTAAATCTTTTTGAGGATAAAGAGAAGTAGGTAACAGATAAAGTACTCATAAGATAAGGTGAAGTTTGAGATAAGATAACATTGAAATAAGGGATTTGTTCCCTCCAGGGTAGAATAATAGTTGTTATAGTTTATCAGCCAAGATTATCAATTAGTGGAGCGGTTTTATAAAAATTTATCTTGAATTCAACCAATATTAATTGAATTTTGGACAATGCTAAGTAAATCGAAGTTAATAATGATTTTGGGCTTTGGACTCAACAAAGCATCGATTGGTAGGTTAATAATAGTAATACATGTTTTTTCTTTTTGAGCTGCTGAGAGCTAGTATGGGGCGTCAGCTGGGCCCAAATCCAATTTATTTGAGGTATGCTGACCAGGGGATGGACAGTACCAAATCACAACTCTCAAAATGACAAAACAAAACTACTAACCAGATGGGAAGCAGAAACCGCTAACCCATCATGGCAGAGGGTGAGGAGGGGTCAGGGGGTTGGTTTTCAGAAAGACCAGCCTCGATCAAGGGATGTTGGTTACAGTACCAGATTAGAACAGAGAGCCAGGGCGTTGGGGCATCCGCATAGTGGGGGTGGAGGTCAGCATAGTAGGAGTTTTCCACTTCCTCATCAAGATAATGATGGAAAAGTGTTTCAACAAAAGCTGTGAGGAGAACTTCAGCTCCTTTGTGGGCTTTAGGAAGTTGGGTGAAAAGGGAGATACTGTGGCGGGTGATTTTGGCTGAGGGGTTGAATGAAGCAAGTGTTGCGACATTCATAACAGCAACTTCAGCATCATCAAATAGTTTTGATATGTCACTTCAGGGAGATTCAGAGAAGTCGGGGGGAAGAAGAGGGTGGGCAGGCCATGCTGGAGCTGAGCCACTGACTGGGCCACCGCGGCGCATAGTTTTGGGCACTGAGGAGAGGCCACCGCAGCTAAGGTGAGCTGGTGGTCACTTTGGAAGGGGGCTTTATTGGGTAGAGGAGCAAAATGGAGAGGGGAAGGGGTTTCATCGAAGTTGAAAAGGAAAATTCTGCCCAACCATAATCGCCTTGGCAGAGAGGTTGACCTGTATGCTTACTAATGAGGACATTACCTGATTCGTCAGTCTCAGCCAATAGATCCCATGGATTTTGGTTCACTGGAATAGTGGCGTTCAAACTTGGGTGGGTGGGATTGGGCGAATGGGCGGCTGCTTGGGTGCCAATGGTGGTCCAAGCATTGCTGTGATTGGCTGGGGTAGACTTAGGTGGGAGAGTGAGGCTGGAGGTTTTGGGGGGGCTGATTTTCCATGTGGGCCCACTGAATGAGATTGGAGGGTGGGAGGGGGCAGCAAAGCGCCCCATACTGAACCTCCAGAAGGAGGCTCAGAAGCCACAACAGCGGACTTGGCCTGAGGGCACACTTTTTTGCATGGTTGAAGCCAAAGAAGAGGGAACAAATATGCCTACCATTATTGACCCAAACCCAAAAGAAATGATCAGGCGCTGCAGCCACACTAGAGCAGGGTGGGATTTGTTGGGCTATGGTAGGGTGGTGTGGTATGATGGTGGCTGTTGCACAAGGAGCAGCAAGGCGCTCCGCACCAGATGGAATGGCAAAGATGAAGTTGGGCTGAGTGCCATAAGCTATGAGCCCCGCGACCAACTGGTCATACAAAACCTGGGGTGGAAGGTGGGATGTGAGTTTTGCAAAGGATACCACCAGCGTGGTGTCTGAAGGGAGGTGAGTACAGGTTGTGGGAATGGGGTTTTTTTATAAATTAGAGGAGTTTGTGCTGCTGCTTCAGCATCCTCCTCAGATTGGAACCCAATGTCAAAGTAGCCCTTAAAAGGGCGGAAGTCTATAAAGCCAGCTGGCGCAAAGGCCGCAGTGGCTAGGTCAATAATTGCCTTATCAGCGTATGGGAACAAACGCCCATAGTCCACTCTGAGGCAATAGCGATTGGTGGAGCGAGGGAGGGCGAGAGGATGGGGGCGAGAAGGGTGGACGCGCGCCAGGTGGAGCGCTAAGTCCTGTGGGGGGACAAAACGGTTGGAAGCAGTGGGTGGGCTGTTTGAGCCTGTCCAAACGCGCTTGCCTGCGAGGCAGAAAATGCTAGGTGGGGGTGCGCTGCTGCCCCACACTGGGGTGGCAGGCGGCGGAGCCAAGGACACTAAAGAATAGGTTTTGGCAGACGGGTGTGGATAAATAAAACTCAAATTTAAAATCGCTCAAAATTAACTTCAAGCGGTAAAAGAAAACCTGGCCCAATAGTAAATATATGTTGATATTGCCCAAAATAAACAATAAGTTCAAAGCCCCAAGTTGAGGCTTCATATAAACTGTTGAAAATACCAACATTCCTATCTTCAGTCTCAGTATGTGCAGAGGCATTGCTAAAGAGTCTGTGAGATTATAAACTCCATTGGATAATTATTTTGTTCCTCAGGATCCTCACAATTAACATTGTTGATACTTGGCAACAGCTTATGTACATCTAAATGTATAAGTTAATTTAGCCACAGCTTGTCAGTGTACTTCAGGATGTGATTCCTGATATTTACTACTACTTTCTGATGTGCAGTAGGGTTATTTTAGAAAGTTTTTATTTCTGGTTTTTGGGGTCATTTGTGTATTGGGGCCTTCATTTTTTGTTTGACTTTTGTGTTAGGATTAAAGCAATATGTCTTAAGCTTTGGTATGATGAAGATGAAGAAAGTGACACATCGATGAATCCCCCCTTGGGTTGGGACCATCTAGTATAAAAAAAAAAAAAAGATGAAGAAAGTGACTGACTCTCAGGCAATGGAGTTACTAATTTTTCTATTATTCACATTATTTATTAGTAGTAATGACTTTTCAATTACATGTGTCCAAACCCTGAAAAACTGGATTTGATTGTGAAGCATATGCATCAACATGCACACCTAAAAGACCTGTTGGAAGTTTAATCTGCTTAACAGGTTGACCCTAAGTTTTTGTTTTCACATA